TTTCCTGTCAGTGTCCAGACTTCTGCACATACTTCACCAGTGACCTGATACCCAGGGATGCTTTGTGTGCTGGTTGTTATTGGAAATGGTTCAAAAGTCAACATTCACAAGGGCACTGATGTGATTTTTGCGATCAGTCCTACTGAATCCCCTAGACTCTAAGGTTCAGCTGCAGGTGGATGTGCCCACAATCTACAGTCAAAAAACCCAGCACCCACACTCAATACTGAATGTTTAAGCCTCTTGTTGTCAATGTTTGGGGACTAGAAATAATTTCTCTCACTGATCCTTTCTCCCTGCTGGTGGATCTTTATCATTCAAGAATGAGCTTGAGACCCTTGGAGATGGGGATTTTTTTAGAAGCAAAGGAATGTTTTTTTCTGCTGCTACTCTTTGCTCTGTGCTTTTGTACTCACTACCGTGGTTTTCCCTGTGGAATGCCCAACATGATAATATCATCAATTTAACCAGTGTGCTTCACTGATCTTTAAGAGAGTTCATAGCTGTTGTTCGATTTCCAGGAAATGTTGATTTTTCTGAGAAGGTTACATTGAGGCTAAAGGTATCTTGGTTTATTAGTATAACCAGTTATTTAGAAACCTGACAGCTCTTTTAGACATTATTTTGGCTAACGTGCTGATTTCATGTTTAATAAATCCCGTTCATGCAGGCTCAAAAGGTCATCCTGAGAGTGACATGAGTACAGTTTGTATACACGTACTGTAATATTATTTTGTAAATTAAGCTGCCTTTCTCCAGCTCTAGTATGTGTTCTATTTTGTAGATTAAAGCATGTTTATCTCTCGGTGCAAGATCTGGACTTTGTTCAACTCTGTCTTCGTCTTCCAGTATCTAATTACTCTTTGGATGAAGATCATTTGGCTCATTGTGCTACTCAGTATTTATATTTTTAAATCTTCATATGGACCAAATAGGACTTTCTCCAACCAGAGCCTCCTGAGAGGAGCAGGTGCCTCTCAGGGTGGTAAGAGCTTTCCTTTGCTGGGCATTGCTTTAATTCCAGCATCAGTCAGTAGTGATTGAAAAGCATTAAATAAAATTAAGTAGCTGTTTTATGTGGGTATCCAGGGAGAATTAAACAAGCTCTGTGCTTGCTTCTGGATCTCTAAGAAACACCTGTACTGTCGTCCTGTTGATGGTAGTTTTAAGCAAGTCCTGACCTGGACTAGAGCTGATCCTTCTCACGCTGGCTGGAGACAGGTTAGCCAAAGAGTAACAAAAGGAAAATTCACCCTATACTTTATATAACTCGCTCCCAGAGTCATGTCAATTGGCTGCTTAATTCCACCACTAAATTTACCTAAATAATAATAGGGGTTTAATGGATTTTACTTCTGTTTCTCACCTGGGTATGACTATTAAATCATGAAAGTTTTAAAAGCTTACAAATTAGCTGAAGTGACAAATGAGTACAGCAGGGTGCCCTGCATGAATTGCTGGTTAAAACCTGCGTAGCTGTTGAACAGGCTTCGCTACACTCGTACAGTCTCAGCTGAGCCAGACCTCGACATCCCTGAACTGATCACACAAACTTAGAGATGAGACAGGAGGGAGGCTCTGACTTCTGAAACAGATACTTGAATTGCCAAACAAGTAATGACCGTGAGATTCTTATGGGCTGCTGTGAGTAGGAAGCTGAAAGGCTTTTTAAAATATCAGATTCAAATGAAAGTTTTAAGCCTTCACCCATATGAGCGTCATTAGGGTCTTCCCATGGGGAATTCAGCCTCTCCCCCAGCAAAGGCTACTCCCTAGAAGAAATGAACTGAAAAGAAGAGTTTGCTCCATGAGCTGATGAGCAGATGATTGAGACCAGACCGGTCTCTTTGCAATGTGTACCTCAGTGTTTCTCTCCAGTATGCCTCAAAAATTGTGCTGTTTGTGTACTCTGAAGTTGTGATTTTTCCTGGAATAACCCAGGACAGCTGTAGTAGAAAGCCACTTTGGAGGAGCCTCTGGAAGCTGTTACAGATAAAATCAAGCGTGTTCAGTGACTTCTTACACAGGCATGTTCCCCTCAGCCTAGGGTTTCTACTGAAAAACAGGAGCATGCTACAGTTTCAGAAGATGAGTATCAGGCAGTAAGCCTCACCTGTGTTGTGCTTTAAGAAGAACAGGAGGAAGAAAAAAAATCTTGCAAATAGAAAAAGAAAACTCAGTGAGTTTCATTAGAGAACTCTAATACCAAACACCACGGAATTAATTTTCTTGTCTATTTTCACCCTCCTCTGGGGATGAATGATGATTAAAGGACAGGATAATAAGAAGGGGGAATGAGAGGCAGTTAAAAAGAAAAAAAAAAAGAGAAAGAGGGGGAGAAAGGAAAACAAATGTTTTAGTTAGCTAGTCAAGGTTAGCTTAGCACTGTATCTGCTTTAACTGACACGAAAAATTATAGATGGCACAAAACCTACTTCACTACTGCTGAACCCCACGAAATTTATCTTGACAACTTAGTGAGCTTATTTGTTCTTACAGGAGATTTTTAACCTCCTTGTGATGTTTTTTATCTTATTTTTCTGATTTTTTTTTTTTTTTGAGTAAGATTCTTATGCAAAAGTAGCAACTTACAAATCAGCATGTTCATCTTTCGCTGCCTGTTGTGGCTAAGGTAAGAAAGAAAAAACCCTTTTGGAGGAAGAAGGGGGGTTGACACGTAACCTCTCTGCTTTCGGTGCTCACTACCGAGCCGGAAGGCTTTTTGCAAAGGAGAAAACGCGGTTTGAAGAGCGGTAGGTTTTTGCGCGCAAGGACGGCAGTTCACCGGTGCCGACACGAAACTCCACATCTCCCACCGGGGGTGTCCGGCGGGTCCGAAGAGCCGGAGCCGGTTGTTTGTTCCTCTGCCGTCCCCTCCCCTGATCTCGCCTAACAAGTTAGTCAGGGTGCGGGTCCCCAGGCAGCTACACCCCCCGGGGAACCTGGGCTTGGGCTTCCCCCCCCCCCCCCCCCCGCGTTCCCTCCCTGCCTGCACGCCGGGATAGAGATGCCCTTCGCCCGTGGTAGGAAGCCCCAGGGTTTAAGCTCGTCGGGGCGGCCCGGGCCGGGGGCTCCCGGACGGTTCTGCCTCTCGGGGGGACCCCGCGCCCCTGCGGCCGCCTCCGCGGGGCGGCGCGGTGGGGCGCGGGGCCGCGGCCGCCCAGGAGAGGGAGCCCGGCGGCCGCGGCTGCGCCAGGCGGCGGGGAGGCGGCGCGGAGCGGTGCGGAGCGGTGCGCGGCGCGGAGCGGTGCGGAGGGGTGCGCTGCCCCGGCTGCCGCCCGCCGCCAGCCCCGGCCCGCCCCGCCCCGCCGGTGAGTACCGCCGCGCCTGCCGCCCCTTCCCCGCTGTGCCGGGAGGGGGTCCCGGACCCCCCCCCCCCCCCCCCCCCCCCCCCCCCCCCCCCCCCCCCAGCCCCCTGAACGTGCCCTGGGGTAACGCTGCTCCCCTGGGGTCGGGCCGGCAGCCCGCCTCCTGAGCATCGCCCAGCCCGAAGTTGGGGGCCGGTACTTACTTTCCGCATCATTTTTTTTGAACGCAGCCGGCTCGCAGCGCCGAGGCATCGGGCAGCGCCCAGGGCGTCCCGGAGCTCTGGTCAGGGCAAAGTAATCCCGCTTGCGCTAAACTCCAGCAGCCCGGCTTTGCCTCTCGCCCCGGCTGGCCGGGACGTTATTCCCCAAGAAGGCAGGAAAGCCGGGGAGAGGCTGCCCAGGAGACGCTACGCCCCATCGAAGATGTTAGAGGAGGCGAAGGGGGGTTGCTTTTTGCCCGCTGCGTGCCTCCATGCCTGTCTTTCCCTTGTCTTAATCCTTTAGGAGGAGACGCCGGGCAGCCAGACCTTTCGCGGAGGAGCGATGCTGCCGAGCCCTGCCCCGGGCAGAAGAAAGGCTTTGCCGCCGGGACCCGCCGGGACCGGGGATGCGTGGCCCGGGGCAGGCTGCGGGAGAGCGTGAGGAGCTGCCTCCGCCCGCGCTTTTCTGAGGAGGGGAAAAAGCATGGTAAAAGCTGGACCCGATCCCTGGAGCGCAGCCCCGCTGAGCGGGAGGTGGGATTATTCCGGGATAGTTATGGAGAGCTATAACCTGGCAGCAGAGCGTTAAAGCGATTTATCCCCGCTGGAAGAGGACCCCACGGTGTGTCACCCCGCGGCGTGGCTGAGGGGAGGCCACTCAGGTCCTCCTGTCGCCCTTCTTTCTCCTTCCGGTGAACGACAGAATAAAAAACCAGTACTCGGCTCTTGCCAGTGTTGGGAATACCGTGCCTTTTGCCTGGGATGATTTGCCCTCATGTGCCGCTTCGACGGGATGTACAAAGTGCGACTGGGACTGATCCCGCCAACAAAGTTTGCGGGGCGATCAGCAGGGGCCATGGGATGGAGGTAGCTGGGCACACGCCAGCAGGGTCCGTCACGCACGGTCCGACGGCACAGACCTGCTGCTCCCTTGAAAACTAACTCCTGATGGTCTAACTCTGCCAGCTCCTGTTTTTACACCCCCCTGCCAATTTGCACTTTCAGGGAAAAAACCCACACATACCTGATGCAATGCAGTGTTTCTCTGTTGGTTTTGTATATAAGATTTGCTATGCAATTCTGAAACTAAGAGAGGAGGAGAAACGGCCCTGCATCCCAGAGCAAACAAAGAATCAGAGGTGAAAGGTAGGAGCCAGCATTTCTGGTTTAAATAAAACTAAATAACCTGAGCTACTTCTTACTGAAAATCTTTAAAACACACCTAGTGTATGTTTATATTCTTTGTCTTGGAATTGTAAAACAGTTTGAAACAAAGTGAAGGTTTGCTTTCTTACACTGCCCAGAAACAGAGAACTGATGCATTTTGTAACAGGAGTGTACTGAGAAGGAAATATGGAGTGTTTCATCACTGAGCCATTTAGGAAACTAGAGAAAAAGCACCTCGTATAGCACGCTTCAGTAAATATGAAGGGCTAGTGCAATGGACACTGGAAACACTCGATCAATAGCCTGTTTAAGTGGGAATATATGCGAGCATGGAAAAGTGATTGCTTTCCTGTCTGTGGGGTATAGTTGCAGAGGACAGCCGCAGAACATTTGCAGGTGAGCTGTCTGAATTAGGCTACTTCATGCTGGGGTGGTGCAGTGTGTTTCTGAAGAGATTGCTTAAAAAAACAGTCCGTAGGGCGGATTGTATTTGTGCATTTTCAGTTTCTGCTCACGGAGCTTTCAGTGTTGTTCAGGATGATTCAAAGTGGGTGAAGTCCATCCGGGGGCGAAGGGACTGTAAGAAAGGACCTTTGGTCTGTTTGGTGATGAGTAATTAATGGACATCTGATGTCTCTGATCTCTGCAAGGAAAGGAGCTGATGTCGTCATGAAAATCATGGTATGATTTTCCTTCAGGAGAAACTATGACTTGGAACGACACCACTATGGATGGGGAAGGGTTGCTGGTGGAAAGGGACTCTTCCTTTCGGATCCTCACGGGCTGCTTCCTCTCGCTGCTGATCCTCTCCACGCTGCTGGGAAACACGCTGGTCTGTGCAGCTGTCATTAGATTTCGCCACCTCAGGTCCAAGGTGACCAACTTCTTTGTCATCTCGTTGGCTGTGTCAGATCTCTTAGTGGCAGTTTTGGTCATGCCTTGGAAAGCTGTGGCTGAGATTGCCGGTTTCTGGCCTTTTGGTTCATTTTGCAACATCTGGGTGGCCTTTGATATTATGTGCTCAACAGCCTCCATCTTAAATCTCTGTGTCATTAGTGTGGACAGATACTGGGCCATCTCCAGCCCATTTAGGTACGAGAGGAAAATGACCCCCAAGGCAGCCTTCATCATGATCAGTGTGGCGTGGACTTTGTCCGTGCTGATTTCCTTCATCCCTGTGCAGCTGAACTGGCACAAAGCTACAACCGAAAGCTTTTTGGACTTAAATGCCAGTTTACGAGGTATAACCATGGACAACTGTGATTCTAGCCTAAACAGGATGTATGCTATCTCCTCTTCTCTAATTAGCTTCTATATACCTGTGGCCATCATGATAGTAACTTACACGAGGATATACCGGATTGCTCAGAAGCAAATACGACGCATCTCAGCTTTGGAGAGAGCAGCAGTGCACGCCAAGAACTGCCAGAACACGAGCGGCAACAGAAGCAGTATGGACTGCCAGCAACCAGAGAGCAACTTCAAAATGTCCTTCAAGAGGGAAACAAAGGTTTTAAAGACTTTGTCGGTGATCATGGGGGTGTTTGTGTGCTGCTGGTTGCCATTTTTTGTATTGAACTGCATGATCCCCTTCTGTGAGCCTACCCAACCATCCAAGGGAGCAGAAGCTTTCTGTATTAATTCTACCACCTTTGATGTTTTTGTTTGGTTTGGATGGGCTAATTCTTCCCTCAACCCCATAATTTATGCCTTCAATGCTGATTTCCGCAAGGCGTTTTCGACTCTGCTGGGATGCTACAGGCTCTGCCCTATGTCCAGCAATGCTATAGAGACTGTTAGTATTAACAATAACGGAGCAGTTGTTTTTTCGAGCCAACACGAGCCCAAAGGGTCCAGCCCCAAAGAGTCTAATCTGGTTTATTTGATTCCACATGCAATTATCTGTCCAGAAGAAGAACCTCTCAAAAAAGAAGAAGAGGGTGAACTATCTAAGACCTTGGAGAAAATGTCTCCAGCACTGTCGGGTATCTTGGATTATGAAGCTGATGTTTCTTTGGAAAAGATCAATCCCATTACACAAAATGGGCAGCATAAAACCTGAACAGTAAGGTTTACCCAGCAAGATCTAATAGTGTGTATTGTAATAATCTTTTTTTTTTTTTTTTTTTAAAAAAAAAGATATACAAGATTTTTTTGGTATGAAACTAAGTTGTAGGGAGAAATACACATTTACACCAAGCCCTGAATTAATTTTCCTGGCATTCAAAGCAAATTTAACATTTTAAATAACAAACTGTAAAAGATACTGAAAATTGGTTTTAAAAAAAGTTACTAAACTGTACTGTTCATACCGAGGAAAATATATGAATTTAGATACAGTGCAGTGACAAAGGAAATACTGCCTCTTCTCTAGACAGAGAAACCAATTTCTAGCTTAAAATGAGGCAAAAGATAAATGTTAAGTATTTAATGTTTACTAGAAGTTAAAAGATTGCTGTGTCTTGTGATAGTGGGTGTTACAGGTCCTAATTAAAGACTGAGGGATTGTAAAGGTAGGTAGATGCCTTCTTAAAATTATTTCTGACAAATAATTGAGCCTTATAATGAGAATGGTTATTTTTAAAGCTTTGGGAGGTAATATGTTGATACTGGTTTTATTTATTTATTGTTTTAAATTGATATTTTTCATATGTTATAACAGATCTAGCTTTATTTATATTATTTAAGATGTCTAAATAATGGGATATTTTTGAAGTGTCATAATTGCATTTTGACCAGTGAACCAGTCAGCACTTTATTACAAGCTCTGATAGTCTGGAGAGCTGGTGAGGGGAATGTAGGAATATTAAGAAGCTCAGCAAGAGATGAAGGAATCAACAAAACTGATGCTGTGTGGAGTTCATTTGCTTGTGGGCTTTTTTTTTTTTAAAGTGGGATTTCTTTGAAAAGATAGGACCAGCGTTGACTGAGTTGTGAATTCTCTTCCCTTATAGAAATAAAAGAAATTGCTGCTATTTATTTTTAAAAAGTTTCATGTTACAAAAACTTTGCTAGAATGTCAAGTTTGTGGATCTGTAAATACCTTAAATATGATTACAACCTTAAGAAGAATCCAATTTGAGAAGAAAAGCTTCTTAGATAACAATTCTTAGTATATAATGTTTTGTATTTATGTAAGATAAATCGCTCAGACTTTTCTTATTTCAAGTCTTGGATATCTTTTCTGAACAAACACAAATTGGTTATAATGATAGTAAACATGCCAAACCTCGTTATCATCTGTATTATTGCAGTACCACCAGGGCCATGCTGTCTGTCTGCGACTGTATCACAGTCAGAATTAAAAAGTGAGGTGCCTAGCGCTTTACTTTGGAAACTAGGAGGACATTACCTTTTAGTAATTACCATGTCAATAGTCCATTCAATAGTGCCTCATTACCATTTGGATTAAGACATTTCTAAATATGGATGGAACTGCAGCCCCCTCCTCAAAAACATGCTGTGAGCTCCAAAAAACTTGTCAATGTTTAATTCAAAAACCTGCTACTTCTCCATTGTCCTTCCCTGCTGCTTTCCCTTTGTAATGCCAAAAGCAATCAGTGAACGTTAGCAACAGGAACATTGCTGTTCATGTTCAGCAGCATTCAAAGCAAGCTATTTGTTTTCTGAATGGGAGAAAATACCCTTTGGAGCAACTTTTTTCATAACATATATTAAAAAAATGTGTTGTCAGGAAAAGAGAACCGAGAAGAAAAAAAAACCAGTTAAAGTCTAATGAACTATATACATCCTGCATCAGGTCTGTGTATTTATGTATTGTGAATGTTTTCATAATTTTATTGCCTGTATGCTGCTTTCATACATATAATAAAATTATTTTGTGAACAGAAGGTCAAATAAAGCAAACTACATTACATTTATTAAATACATGCTGGTTGTTGGCAGTTGTATCGATTGTATTAAAGGAAAGGATGGTTCCTCTTTTTCCGTTTGCCCTTATTTGTGATCACACCCATGAGGGAGATGGGAATTTTTATTAGAATCAGGAGAAAGTCCTCTCTATTGAGAGACCTCTGAGCCCTTGCCCTAAACTAGGATTTGAAAGCAGTAAATACAGTTTGGAAACAACCACTCTCTGCTTCAATGGTGACTAGCTAAAATGTGTGAAGCTCGACCTACTGGTGATTCTTATTTCAAAGATTTTTTTCGTGTAAGAGAGTAGTGATCTCGGTTTATAGCATGCTTTTATTGTTGCTTTGTTTTCCTTTTCTTTCTTTTCCCAAGCTGTGCAGTACTTTTGAAAGCCTCATACAGTCCCACTGCTAGTGTCTGTTTTTTAGGAACAAAACAAATCATTTCAGAAGCGAGGCGATGGTAGGTGCAGCTGAGGCACAGCAGTGTCCCTCCGTTCATGGCAGCTCTCTGCTTTGGTTTGGCCTCTGTCAGCAGATTAATTTTGAAATGAAGAAATAAACCAACCAACGTGGTCACTTCTGCCTCAAGCATTACCAGTGTGACCCCTTCAGCGGCTGGGATCTGAGTTGGGGCACAAGCTGTGGTCATGTCCAGCTCCCTCCTTCAGTGCTAACTTCCCTTGGTCAGTGACTGCAGCGGGTCTGACGGCAGGCAGGGAGTTGTGTCTGCCTCCAGCCTTTCTTAGCTCCTTGGGTAAAATTTCCTTGCATGGTGCTGATGCTCAATTTTTTTTTTTTTTTTTTTTTTGTACATTTGAGGAATTATTTTACTTTTTAAAAAGTACACAGGCCAAAGATGAAGTTCTGTGGTTGCTTAGTCAAATGCATCTGCCTTCAAAGAGCTTTTATTCTCAAAACTCCCATCAGTCTGATATAATAGCAAAATATAAAATATGATTTAAGGAGATCATGTAAAGCAAGATGCTGGTTTTGTACTAGTTTATATGTGGAAGATTTGTATTCTGAAATAAATGGTTGCTCTAGTGTGACCAGGAGCTGTCCCAGGATGTCCATCCTTGCAGATGGACCTGAGTCTCAGAGGGGCTTTGTGGAGGTCAGTGAAGTGCTACCTGCTGTTGCTGCTGAGTGCTTTGCTTTGGTGTGATAGGCACCCTGCTACAGGCAGGGCAGGGGAGACATTTGGATGAATTAATTTTGTTTTATCTCTCATTCTATTTAAACTATTTTTTGCTTCTGACTCCTTTCCCTTACATACATTTTAGAATACCACGAATTCACCTTCATCCTCATTTGCTGACGTACCCCATGTAGCCCTTCATTTTCCACTCTTCCCAACACAGGCTTCTCTACTGGTCCTCTCTGCCTTTCCTTCCACTGCTGCCAGAGCTGTTCTGTCACCCTGTTTGGCTTCATTGGCCCCAATAACCCTTTGCCTGGGAGAAAGTCCAAATTGAACTCCTGCCCTCCCAGCAGAGCCATGAGTTCCCTTCCCACAGCCTGCACCCAAAACGCTTCTCTTACCTGTTGCAGAGCCCGGAGATCAGTGTCAGGGGTGACTAGAAGGGACAGCATCATGTACCTGCTAACTGCTACTCTATTTATGTGCTGAATTAATGGCTAGGAAGCTGTTTTACCTGTTTTGTGCCTGCTCCCCAGCTGCTCGAAACCAGCGGTCTGCTGAACCTACTGGTCACACCAAGGTCAGGGTGCAGCCCAGGGGCTGGAGACACGCCAGACCCACGCTGATAGCAGGGAGTTAACTGGTGAGGTTTGGCCGTAGTAACCCTGCGAGTAACCTGTGAGGAGTGCTTACTGCTCCATGCTAGCAGGCAGCAGCAGCCTCTCTGCTGTGCTGGAGGATGAGAGCAGCAGAAGGTCATTTGCAATAACGTCATGTTTGACATAACAGGCACTTTGGTGAAACACTTCCTCAGGAATGTTTTTCTTGACATGTGTTGCAATACAGAGGCAGAGGTGCCAGGACACCATGATGTCACTGCTCCCACCAGGACAGCCACTTTGTCAAACCCATGAGGCATCAGGCACTTTTCTGCTTCCCTTGCCACCCACAAGCAGTGTTTTCCTCCGTGGAGCAAGCCTTGCTGTGTGCTTTTCCAATGCACCTGCAAATAACCTGTGTAACCTTTTCTTTTTGGGCATTGCTTCCATGTGACTGAAGGCATTTTTCTATTTGTGGATGGAAGAGGTTAATAATTCACCTGATGGCCTTGATGAAGGAGCTGTTTGCAACGAATGAACCATAATCACTAGATTAAATCTGAATAAATTTCTCCCTTCCCTTGGCAAGCATTTTCTGCTGATTTGGGTTTCTAATTTAACAAAGCCTACAAAAGATAGAGGATGAAAGAATAAATGCCTTCGCTGATGTACAGTTTTAATGACACAGATATTGGAAGTCAGTCCTGGATTTTTTCAAATCAATAGTTTTCAGAAGCACTCAAATCTGATTGAAATATCAGAAAAATGCTTTGATTGGTATCTTGAGAGACAGATTATTCCAGTAAATATTTTGGGGTTTTTTATATAATGGTAGTAGCATATGTTCCTAGTGATACAACTTCTGTGGTCACACAATGAATGTAACTTAGAGAATAAGGAAAACAATGGTATCTGTTTCTTAACTTTTAAAAGAGTGAAACACGTACTGTAAAATGCTCTTGCACTGTTCTACTGCAGTAGAGATGGGCTGAAGCGAGTGTTGGGTCCTCACTATGAGCCTTGGATCAGGCTGGTGTTGATCCCCGTGTTGCGAGCAGGTCGGTGCTGTCTGGCTGCCGGGTGTGCATGGTGGTGCTCCTTCTCCAGCTCAGACCTCAAGCTCAGGGATTTGCCTGTGAACGTCAGACTTCCCCGGCGGATCTGCAGAGCCCCGTGCTGCTGGCCCTGCTGCCCCCCGCTAGTCAGGCACAAGTCTTTCCAAAGCACCTCCGGAAGCGTGTTTTTACAAATGTAGTTTTGAGGCTGAATGTGTAAATTGAGTATATGATGGCTATTTTCATGTTGGTTGTCTTCACACTCTCATGTTGGTTATCTTTACAGTTATGGTCAGAACAAAATGGCAATATTCTGCTATGCCAGTTTTCATGCTCTTTCTAGGAAAGAACTCTGGGCAATGATACAGGAGAAGGCTGCTGGCCCTGCTATACTGATGGCCACTGCTTTTCTATTTCAATTGCGTTCCCTTTTGGTCCCACCAGGCTGTTCCTCCCCCTTTCCAGGAGGGATATTCCCGTTGGTTCTTTGGCAGAGTCTCCTCAGCGCTCACCTGGGCAGTGGTGATGGATGGTGCTGGCAGGGTGATGCAGAGCCAGCTACCAGTCACGCAGAGCAGCAACAGACCTGGGCTCCAGGTTGTGTGCTGAAATAACACGATTGGCATCAACAGCATTGCTTCAGTTTCTGTCCCTCTGGATGGGGTTGGTTTCACCCCGGAAGGCAATGTGGAGATCAAAGGGATACCCTGGACCTCTTTCATCATCAGCCTCTGGACCTGGTGAGATGGGTGATTTGGTGTAAAAGAGGCAGAGAAGAGCAAGTGGCAAAGGTGTTCCAGGACTGGCTGCGGGGCAGCAGCAGTTGGGATGGTGGCACTGGGGAAACCCTGTGCCCCAGCTCCCCCGCCGCGATCCCAGGCAGCCAGAGGAGACGAATGGAGGAAGAACTCAGGTCCAGCCCTGCCCCGGCCAGACCCAAGGACCAAACCACCTCCCGGTCCCTGCAGCACCCTGGGGCCAGCTCCGCAGGGAACGCGGCTTTCACTTCAGGGCCAGCACGGCCCCGCCGGCGGCTGACCTCAGTCCTGCCGGGGAGTGCTCAGCACTGCCGAGAGATGCTCAGCTGAGGAGCACGTCTGGCTTCGGGCTGTCATTTGACTCAAAAAGAAATGAAATAATGTATGTGGTAAGGGATTTTTAAAGCCAACTTATGCTTTGTTCCAGATAACTCATACATTTGTTTTTCTCACATCTCCTAGATTTGCTATGTCAGTAGCTCCCCTTTCAGTTGGTTGGATTTTTTCCTGTTTGAATATTTCCTACCCAACAGAATTAAAACTGTTTGTGGGATATTTCAAGTAACAAAAAAAATATCGAAAAAGTCTTGTTTGAATATATCATCAAAGGATGTTTTGATATTTTCAAAATTAATTTCTTAACTTTTCAGCTTGCAGTGTTAGATTTTTAAAACTCAGATATCTGGTTTGAAAATAATGGCAAAGAAGTTAAACTTTAAAAATGAAATGAAATATTTTAATATGACTTGCATTAAACAATTAGATTGTTCAAGACCTGTTCCTACTCCCAACCCTTGATTTTCAGATCATTAATTTCACATTTTTCTAAGACAAGGAAACATTTTGAAGTCTTGGAAGAAGACAGAATGAGAGAAGTACTTGCTTCCCAGATTCGCCTTCCAGTGATGTGAGCAGAGAAGTCAAATGTTTCACTGAACTGAACTACCATTGCAAAGTTTCTCTTAATCTCAGAGAGAGAAAATTATGGATTTTGACACCGAGACATTTTCCTCAGCTTGTTTTTATTTTCTTTCTTTGTTAATAAAGGAGTTTCTGATGGTATTACTTTTCCTAATCTTTTTTGTGTCATTCTGCGTGACTACCAACAATTTTATTTCCATATGCACATACATACATACATGTGTACAATACATTGTTCTCAATTAGTAGATTCAGAGACCGCTAGAAAAAACAATAGCTCCATGTGAAGTGATGAGAGGTGAACTCAATCTATTTCTTTGCTGCAGAAGCAGGCCACAGAAGATGACCCAGGCCCGTATTGCCTGCATTAAAAGGACAAACCTGTCAGGGCTGATAGATCTTTAATGCCAGCAGTCCTCCGCGTGTGACCTTGGGCTCAGGAGCACGTTTCCCTAACCCTGCTCTGGAATCGGGCAGAGGTGGGTGGGGGCTGCACGGCAGCTGGTGGTTCGGGAAGGGCGGTTAATTAGAGCTGGTTCTGCTTTGTCTGTTTGGGAGCACATGTGTGCCCAAGAGACGAAACGTTCAGAAAATTGTAAAAACATCGCTTTGAAATTGCTCAGTAAAAGGTATTTTGAATAATAATAAAAAAAGACTTAATGATGCTGTTATATACTTTTTCACTTTCTAGTTTTCTAAAGCTTTTGTAACTATTTCCATAATGCTTTCAAAGTTGCAAATGGTGCCATCCAATTTCATTCATTTGCTCTTTTGTGGTTGCATTAGACTTTGATACCGATTTGTATTCTCAGCTGAACAGACTCTGCTCCAGCAGCTCCTCCAGCCTGCTGACATCTGCTGAAGCCCTGGATGCCACCAGGTCTGTTGGGATGTGGGACAACAGTGAAAGGGGGCCCCTGGAAATGTCAGTTTTTGAACAGTGGGAAATTATTTTTGAGCAAAAACTCACTTTTCAGTTTGGTATCTATTTCGTAGATCCTAAAATGATTCCATTATAATTTTTTTCTTGATTTATTTTCAAAGAGATTGAATAAATTTTCTCAAAAGCAAGAGTTATGGCTTAAAGAAGAACTGTTATCTTCTAAGTGAGAAAGATTTTAACGTTATGATAGTTAACATTTCAGAAACATTTTAATTAAATATCATTAAAATCCTTACAAAGTAGAATATTTTTGATGCATTTTGTTAATGTATGACATTCTTCAAAATAAGAGGACAATTTCTGATGAGAACAGTTTAATGCAGAAACTCTCAGTCATAATTCTTTCTTGCCTGAGAGGATAAAATATAGCGATGGGTAGCTTTGTGATAGCATGTAGCACTAGTAAAAAGCATTTCCCAGCAAAGTAAGCAGTGACATTTAGACATTTAGTAATTCCACTTGTGCTGTTCAGTCCTCCTCATTGTACAATATTGATTATATTTGAAAATAAGTTAAATAATTATCTAAAAATAACTTCCATCATAGTAAGTGCCATTAATTGGCCTTTTGCTAGGAGTCTCAACAGACCCCCTGAGGATGGAGTCCTGACCAGGATTTAGAGAGAGTTTTATCCCTTTAAGTGACATTTTTGTACCCAGGCTACAGCACATTAATTCCTGCCCTCTGTGTCCATCTTGTCACCTTTCAGGAGGAGCAAATTCCCTCTTCACCCTTCCCTGTCCTTTATGCATGTTCTCTCCATTCTGCCTCTTTTTCCCTTACTTATCAGGATAAATTAAATTGTAGAAGTGTGATTTGAACTGATACAGCAAATAGATTTTTACTAAAACAGCGCAAGACCCTGTCTCTAACTCAGCCAGTCCTGGTGTAAAGACAGCCATGGTCTAAGCTTTACTCCGATCCTTTTGGAGCACATGTGTGTGTGCACAGACGCAGTGTCCCGGGGAGCCCAATTGCTGGGATCTCCCCACTCACAGCCCCGAGGTGAATGATGCACATCTTGAAGTGGGATGGGGAGAGCCTCAAGCCAATGTATTGACTGAGACACTCTCAAGAAAAAGCTAGAAAATCAATGAGCTCATACCCTTTTGGCAGTGACAGTACACTTAACCCCTGAAACAGCACTCCTCAAGGACTGCCAAGCATCTGCCCTTCCCAGCTCAAAAACCATTTTCAGTGATTGATTTTATTTTGCAGTATTTACTCAGCTCTAATGCACAAACACGCATATTTTGTACATGTAATTTAAGTAAAGACCCAGCTGCACGATAAAAGCAAATAGAATATAAAGTATAGTTATCAGTCCTGACAGCCAGGAAGAAAAAAACATCAGCAAAGGGCTGGATTGCCACCCCCTTGCCACAGATGTAAACCAGGGCAGCCGCATCGAAACTGTGCCAACCTGATGTGGTGTGAGCAAGGAGTCAGGCCGGGCGCTCACCCAGTGACAGTGCTACCATCTGGTCTGCAGGACACAAGCATTTCCTCTCCCAAAACAACACAATAAAAAAACCACTTTACACGCCACAGGCTGCAATCAATGGAGCGTTCAATATTTCAGTCACTTTCTCTTTCAAAATGACTGGTGATTCCTCTCCACCCCCATTTGCTGGCTGTGCTCAAAATTAAATGTAGGAAAGAGTCACCAGTAAAAGCCTCTGGGGTTTATAGTGCAGCCAAATTGTTGCAGAGGGATGTGTGGGGTAGGATGGCTGAGGAGAAAGTGCTGTTTTCCTTAAACTTTAAGGGCTTCTGTGTTTTAATTTTATTTATTTTATTTTATTTTATTTTATTTTATTTTATTTTATTTTATTTTATTTATTTTATTTTATTATTTTATTTTATTTTATTTTATTTTATTTTATTTTATTTTATTTTATTTTGTTTTGTTTTATTTTGTTTTATTTTGTTTTATTTTATTTTTACTGCTTTCTTTTGCTCACAGCTGGCATAAAATAATTCCCAAACTCTACTTTCCTATGTATTTTATGTAATATTTTAAAGCTATTAGTATCTGCAGATAAGGAAGGCACCAACTCTCTTGTTAAGGTCTACCCTAATTGCTCCAGAAACGATGCCCCAGGAATGCCATGGACAAACCTGGAGACACTGATCTGATGAGGAGGGTAGCATTAGGAAGGAGGACCTTCCTTTCTGAGAAGCTATTTCTGGTCTCTGAAGTGAGGATTCCCTTTCATTGGGCTGAATGTCTCATTTATTGAAAAGGATTCTCTTAGTTTGGGTGTATTGTTGGGTTTTCCCCCTCCTCACTCAACTGATAAACTGGGAAATTCGGCACTGTCTTATAGCATTGCTTCTTTTGATAGCAACAAGTAGATGTTTAGTTGTATCCATGACTCAAGTGCACTAAGCAGACTAAGTATTTCAACAGTGAAGTTAGTCAAAATGCCCCTTATATTTTCATTCCTTAAGGAAAATAAAAGAATGACATGTAACGCTGCAGAGTAGTTTCTCATTCTTGAAATTATCTCTAAGGAACATGTGAGCTACTGTCTGCAATGATGCACAGTCACAGCATAGGCTGTTGCTTGTGTGTATAGTGCATGAAAAAACAGTACAAGAAAAATATACAAATGAGTAGGCCTCACGGTACACAGTCCTACTCACCACAGACAGATCTCGGGATATTCACAGTGCCAAGACATACTTCAATATTATGATTTCTGTGATTGTTAGTCAAGTCCTGAGATGAATATACGATCTTTTACTTGGTATGTCAGGGAGGACACAGTTGCCATTTGTTACTGCAGGTGCAGAGTGTAATGCCATTTCATACTTAAATTTCAGCTTGTTCCAATCTATCAAATCTGTCTCAGTGGGAAGCTGGGATGGGAGGAACATGCACGAGGAGGTTTTAGCGCTGCTTTCATGTCATTATTGTTTGTCAATCTTGGAGGAGCCATCACTGCTGTTATCACAGCAGTACTGGGCGGCTGGGTTCTGGGGGGACACTGCTGTTAGGTTTGCTATGAGGGCACTGCTGTAATGTTTCCCAGTTCATCTTCATTACGGTCATCATGTTGTGCCCCATGCTGGCATCCCAAACAACTTCTGCTTCCTCTGTTCCTTTCTGAAATCAGCATCTTCCGTAAAAAAAAAAATTGCCCATAAAGGTACCTCAACAAGCAATTTCTGGGGGCAGGGTCAGCTATTCCCAAACGCTCCATTTGGAGTAGATGGAGACATTCCCACCCACGCAGCCGATACGTGATGACTGACAGAGTGGGTGCTAGCGCAGCATCCTCTCCGTGGTCCCGTGGTGCCTCCCACCAGCAGAGCTCAAGGGGCAGCTTTCCACCTGCTGTTGGCAAGAAACCATTGCTGTGACCGCTGCTGCTGATGTTCGTGGGACTGCCCGGGTGAGCGAGAGCTTCTCTGGTGGGCAGAGACAGCTCGGGCTGTGGTTTTGCTTTAGGAAAACATGGTGATTTGAGGAGACAAATGTTATGGATCCAATCCCACATACTCACTGCAACTGGCCTTGGAGCCCTTGGGATGCTCAGCAAGTGCTGCCTAAGGATGGTGTGTTCTGCATGGCTGATGGAGGGAGCACCCACAGCCCCGTCTCCCGAAAGGCTGCCCAAATTGTCTCCCTATATTATCTCCCTGTCTGCAGCTCAGGAGCTACAGGAGGAGCTGATGCTGGAATTTCAATGGAAGCCTTGATTTTATTAATTCTGCAGCCAAAATTAGGCCACCAATGCTACCAAGAGACATGCTTTTTTGGTTGGATACATGGAGAATGCATTTTTAATGCTATAAGTGCTGTTCACTACCACAGGCCTCCCATGTGATGCATAATTGCAGTCAAAACCTTGCAGTAAAGGAACATTTGCTTCCAAGGAGGACAGAGAAATATACAATAAATACTATTTTTTCATTAAAACTTAAAAATATTATTTGTAACTTGCTGGCCTCTGACCTTTCTCAGATCTCAGCTGACAAGTAGTATTTCTGTCTTGTGAGGCTGGAATTGGAGCCAGAACAATTTTCTAATCAAAACCAATGTTTACCACTGCAGGAAAATTTTTGTGTCTAGACTTGGGGACCAACCTTCAACTAAAGTTGAGAAACATTTAGAATA